TTATTTTGATATATCACAGTGAAAGATTTATCGTCCTCTTTTTTTTTTTTTTTTTTTTTTTTTTTTTAAAAAAAAAAAAAAAAAAAAAAAAAAAAAAAAAAAAAAAAAAAAAAAAAAAAAAAAAAAAAAAAAAAAAAAAAAAAAAAAAAACAAAAATAGAAACAACAAACCAAACAACGACTACAAGAAAAAAAATCCCCCCATCCTAAGCAGAGATTAAAAAAAACCAAGACAAATACAGTTTTTCTGTTTTGACTGCCGTATGTTTTAGAGATTATCATATTTGTATTATATATTATCCTTGTGCTATGTCATATGACATACTGGTGCTTATTATTGGGAAATGTAACAATTACATCTTATCTACAGAGAACTTTTAATATGGAGAATTCTAGGTAGACATTTGAAGTGACTGACAGAGGCACTTCCTATTCCTAGAATCTAAAGACCTGGTATAGAATAATGGGGAAAATATGGAATTAAGTCTCAAGACTGGTTTTAGACCTTGATAAACCTTGGGTTTGAAATGTCCCACAAAATCTCCTGTGTTGAAGACTTGGTGTCCAGCTTAGAGCACTATTTGGAGGTGACAGATTCTTCAAGTAGAAGTCATTGGGGATGTACCTTCAAAGAGAGAATTAGGATTCTGCCTCTGCTTCCTGCCTGCCAGGAGGTGAGCACTGTCCTCTACTTTGTAATCATGATGTGCTGTCACACCATGGGATCAAAGTCAATAGGGCTAAGAGAACACAGATTGAAAATTCTGAAACTGTAAGGTAAAATAAACCTTTGTTCCTTAAAAGCTGATTATTTCAGGCATTTTGTTACAGTGACAGAAAGCTACAACAGTCCATGAATCCCCTTACTATATGAACAAATTCATTTGAGCTCTGCCTTGTTCAGTTTCCTTGTCTGAAAAATGGAGATGTTTCTCTTCAGGGATCTCCTTTTCCCCAAGGGAGCCTGGAGGCATCAGGGAAAGTTGACCCGACTTCCTCCAACTTACTTCCTGATGGGCCCATCATCCAATGGTTTTGTGAGACATTTGAATTAATGAGAAGCTACAGGGAAGACTTCTGGTAACCCTTTCCCTTTCTTCTTTGCAGAATTTCTAGGAGCAGAACTTTTACTCTCATGTTTCTGTTCTATTGGAGGCTTAAACTTCCTGAGCTACTTCGTTCTTGTTACCTGAAGAGGAAGTTGATACGAGGGGATAGCTATATATAGGGCTGAGAGAACGGTGTGAAATAGAGTAGGGGTGTGCTTTCCTTCTATACTTTTAGCTTAAAAGTCAAAATAAATTCTCTCTTCTTGGTTAAACTGATTTGAGCAGAGTTTATTGTTATTCATGATTAAAGGTACCTCATATTACAGATGAGAAAACAGGAAATAAAAGCAAAAATTCAGGGCCATCAAATGATAATATGCTCTTATTTTTAAGACATTTTTATTCATATGAACAAGATATATCTTGGTTTTCATGATGAAGCAAATCACTTTTGAAAAGCATTCTACAGAGTTATTTAGTTTGGTAATATCCCTAAGTACCTATCCAGGTTATTGTTGAGGTCCTTCAGGGATGGGGGCATCACCACCTCCTGAAGCGGTAATGATAATTACATCACTCAGCACATTACGGTGTAGCTATCCTGCTATCTCATATTTGTAGCTGCTTTATGCTGAGAGCAACCAAAAGTCCAAGAGAAAGCTGAACCATCTGGGGAGGTGAATTCATGGCTATTGGCTTATATTTTTGTCCCTTAAGAACAGGCACGTTGGAGCAATTACGTCACTGGCATGACTGGGTTTGGCTGTTCTCCCCTCCTTCCTCTTTCCTGACTGCCTCTCTGAAGGAGCCCTCTTCACAGCTGGTCTCTAGAAGGACAATGATTGCTTGGGATACATCTGAGGAGTCTCTGCAGCCATTCAGGACAACTCTATTGTGCAATGTTGAGAACTGGAATTTTGAAATGATTCAGCACCAAGGTCAGCCTTGCATACCCAGACCTGGCCTTGATGCAGCAGAGAGCAGATACTGTGAAAGAGAAAACAGAGACTTGCAGGGAAATGGGTCACTCACAGTTGGCCTCTCGTTCCACAAGGAAAGCTGCCATTGTCTTTTCCCTTCCACATACTGTATTAGACAGTAGTAGGCTATACACGGTTGTAAACTTAGTTTCCCCTCCCCACTTACTGCTTAGTTCATACCCAGCAGCGTCTTTATTGTGGCCTTTGTTGTGCTTCCTGTGGATTTGTCTCTGTGCTTCTTCCTCTCCACATCCTTACCTAATGCCTGTTTAGGGCTCTGCACTGGACACAGATGTGCCTCCCAGGTCTACCTTCAGGGAAGGACTTACTTCCTGAGTTACTGGAAATGCTGCCATTAAACGGTCTTCTCCTGCCAGTTCTCTAAAAATTGTGCTTGGCTGGAGTCATCTTGATTAACCTCTATTTATTGGTTGGGCAGTAGAGGGGTAAGAGGGTCCAGCACTGCTGCTCGAGACAGCTCTCTAGGCCCATCTTCCCTTCAGAGATGCCCAGGGAGTTGGTTGAAGTCACTATTGAGACTTCATCATGATCCATCCTCTCTGTCTTCCCAGTCCTGCTTCCTTCCCTGCCCTGGGTTGACTCTCAGAAGGTTTTCTAAACACTGCCCTGTGTGCTTATCTCCAACTTAGAGTCTGCTTCTCAGGAAACCTCCCAAGATTCAAACCCTTTACAGAGTCTTATGCCAAATACTGGAGACAGGTATTCAGATGTTGGAACAGCAGCCAAGACTTCTCTCCAATATCTGTTAAGTTACATTAGGGACTTTGGAGCTATAGGGGAAGCCACTGTGGTCCCAAACTTCCCTTTGGGGAAACTTTACTATATTATTAGTAAGAACAGCCTTTGTAAAGGAGTTGTTCTAGGCTGAGCACTTGTCTAAGCACTTCATAGGCATTTAGCTCAATTTTAAACTCTGCTGAATAGATGCATTTCCTAATATAGTAACTGTAACAAAGTGCTAGTGGGCCAAGTTTGTCAATTGCAGAAGAGGATTGGATCCCCCTGAGTATATCCCTCAGATACCCCATCAGTGGCCTTGTAAAGAGGCAAGAAAAGTTCAGAGAGCTAGGGACTCAAGGTATGATCTCAGAGGAGTTCCCTCCCCCTCTTATCAAATAGCTGGGCATCTGGGTGGTTTGATTTTTTTGCAGTGGTCTGCTTTCCTAGTACTGAAACTGCTGTTATCTGAAGGTCACCAGATTCGCAGAGTTCTATAAACCTAAAGGGAAGTAACTGACATTCTTATGACTCAAGTCTTCCTTCTTTCTTTTCCTCAAGAGAAGTCTTGATGCTCAAAGCCTACATTTCTCATTTACATCATGAAGGATTACCTTAAAGGCAGTGCTAAGATATAATTACCACAGCTAGCATTTGTTCTGTGTCTGCTACCTCCATCAGAGGCTACTTAAGGTCAAGTTTCAAGGTCTGCACTGTTATCACATTTCATTTAGGAGAAACTGAAGTGCAAAGAGGTTGGATTCACTGCCCACGCTATGGTGACCAAAGGCCTGGTTTGCCAGAACTGAGTTTCTGTGATATGAAATTCCAGTGCAAAAACTGAGAAGGAAAGACCTCTGCAAACTGGGACCAACTAGTCACCTAAGTTGGAGCTAAGCATAATACATACACACATAAACAAAGAAACTCCAAAAATGCAGCAGAATCAATAAAATCTTCATAAAATGATTAATATTAATTCCAAATAGTTTCATCCTCTAACTGCTGAGCCCGCTCATATAACAGATCGGCAATCTCAAGAGCTATTACTAGTCTAAATGTGAAAAATCCAGTAGGCAAGATAAAACCAAAAATACTCTTTAATCCAAGCTTAACAATTCCCTGTGATTTAAACATTATCTTTAGAAAGTGTTAGGATTAGGCAGACAAGGTGGCTCAAGGGAATTCACCATGGGAAGAAAGAATGGCTCTATAGTTGTACTCTGACTTCCACATGTGTGCTGTGACATGCATGTGCCTGTGCACACATGCACTCTTATCACACACACATGCACTTTAAAAATATTTCATTTATCATTTAATTTTTTATGTTTATGAGCATATTGCCTGCATGATGCAAGTGCACCTGTGTTGTGCAAAGCCTGTGGAGGTCAGAAGAGGACGTTGAATTCCTTTGGAACTGGAGTTAGAGATGGTTATTAGCCACCATGTGGGTGCTGGGAATTGAACCCAGATCTTCTGCAAGAGCAGCCAGTGCTCTTAACTGCTGAGCCATCTTTCCACCCCCCCACTACACATGCACTTTTATCACACACAGTCTTTACACACACATAATATTAATGAAAGGGAAGATCATTCTGGCTCTGAGAATTCATTCTGCACAGCTCTCTGTATTTTCCTCCATCAGAGTTGTAGAAGCTGAAAGTAACTTACCTCATCTGAAATTTGACCTCCAAATGTCACCCACGTTCCTAGAAGAGAATAAATATTTGCATGTTATTCCTAATTACTTTTCTAAAATTGTACACTAAGAGGACATTTTCCCACTCGAGCTACGTCACTCATGCAGGTAGTTTGTAAATGTGCCTAGATGAGGGGCACACACAGGCCACAGTCTAGCTTCTCTTCTTCTTCCTAAGTGTTGTGGAAAGGGGCCTGTATCCCTCTGGAGGAAGGGTACCTCTCCTGCACAATTACCACATACACTTTTGGCAGACCTGCATTACAAGAAACTTCTTTTCTGCTACAGGATTGTGAATGCTGGTATACAAGAATTCAAGCCCACTTTGGTGCCACACCTATTTTTACTTTCCCTTAGCTAAAACGTTACCTGTTCTGAAAAGGAGCCCAAGAAAAGGTATGTAGCCAAAGTGAGTTTGATCTTGGGTTATGGTTCTTGCCTTCTTGGCCCCCAACATACAGACTTTGTGTTGTGTTTCCTGTTACCTTTCAAGAGAACTTTCTCCGACACTCTACCAGGCTCTACCCACGAGACACAGAAGGTGACTTGCACCTTCTTTCTTATGACCTGCTCCTGGAAATCAATCTCTGTTGGCTTTGAATGAGGGTAGAGCCAGTAGCCGGAGTTAGGACAGGGAAGGTAAAAGGGGAAGAAGGCATAACTAGCAGCCAAAGATTTGTGTGTGTAAAGCAAGACACCAGGCAAGCACGTGCCACACGGTCTCCAGTTAGCCTCCTTTGTTTACTCTCCTCCTTTATCCATTTTTCTTTTGAGCCTTAATTATATGTCAAACAAAGGCATTGCACCCATGTGCTATGGGTACTGAGAAATGTGGTACAGTTTCCATCTCTGGGAGCTCATAGTTAACAGCGTCTCTTGATAATGCTCTGACTGAGGCAAACACAAAGCAGTAGGGCAGACAGTCCTCTCCCTACACTGGAGGGGGAAGCACTCAAGGAAGACTTCCTAGAGAAGGTTTATTCTTGTGATTGAGCCTCATAAGAGTAAACTGAATGGAGAAGGAAGAGACAGTCATTTCAGACGGAGGAAAGAGCTTGGCAGAGAGAAAAGGAATAAAACCCAAGTGATGAGAGCTGTTTATGAACCATCAGGCCAGGAGATGAACCTTGAGTGCAGAGAAGGAAGTCTGGGCAGGAGTAGGGGCACTCATGACCTGGGCATGGTTGATTTTTATGTGAGCATGAAAGAAATATCTGTGTTTCACAATAACAGTTATAGCTACTACTATGGTATACCTTCTAGATGCCAGATAGTATGCTAAGAAAAATTTCTGTAATAATTTGACAGACTTAAAAGGCAGTTTTATCACCTATGTTTCCAGATGAGGAATCTAGCATTAGCTTACACTAATAGATGAGATACCCAAGGTTCCCCAAACATGCCTGGCTTATAGAAGGTTGTCCTCTTCACTATACATTGCTGACTGAGATTTTCTCCAACTTAACATGACACCCATAGAAGTATGCTGATGGAATTATACCTTCTGTCTAGGTTCTCAGGCACTAAAGCAAGGGTAGGGTATAAATGATCTTACTGGCATGCTCTCTATTCCCAGACATTGAAAACAGGTAGGCCACAGCTGACACTCAGCTGCAGGCTTGCTTGGCTTGACTAGAATGGAGTTGACCAACTTGGTATTTTAATAATGTTGGAAAGAGTTACCACCATTTAAACACTTAGGAGATTTTTCTTAAAATTTTCTGATTTCAGGCTTTTCTTCTCACAAGGTAGGTATGTCCCAAATTGAGGTGGTGCTTCTGTGGAAGGCTGTGACACTTAGTGAAATCCTACCTCCCCCATTCTTGTTATATGCCTAACATTGAATTAATTTCTATTTAGTGCTTTATGTTTAGTGCTATTTTTCTTACAGCAAAAAAGAGGACAATGAACTTGTACATTTAAAAAACCAGAACTGGGGACTGGAGAGATGCTTCAGTGGTTAAGAACACTGGTTGTTCTTGCAGAAGACCCGGGTTCTAATTCCAGCACCCACATGGCAGCTAAAAACTATCTGTAATTCCAGTCCCAGGGGATCCGACAGCCTCTTCTGACCTCCATGGGCATTGCACAACACAGGTGCACTTACCTACATGCAGGCAATACACGCATACACATAAAAAATAAAAATAAATAAATAACAAAAAAAACATAATGTATTTTAAGAAAAAAATAGGTGTAGACATTCTTTTTCAAAGAGTACTCTAACGGAAGAATGCTAATGCAGAAAAATCACATCTTAAGGCACCATAATAAAACCAGTCATGGCTGCCATGCAGAAAAGACGGTCTCTGAAAAACTTAATGGACTGAGGAAAGGGCAGTATTTGTTTCTGAATGGAAATTAAATAAGTGAGCTGCTGTGAAATGCAGCTCTTTAGTAAGTGAAAAAAATTGCTTCAGCATCAAAGCCTTTTCACAGAAACACATTTATAAAGGAAAATTTTTCTGAATACAGTAGAAATTATGTGCCCAGAGCACAAACAAATATTTGCAAATGTTAGTAGAACTAGCAACTTTATAGCTCAGCATGTTAAAAATATGGCTGAGAACTTTCAGGACAAGTTAGATTATTGGAGACATTTTCTATGGCAGCAAATGAGAAAGTGGATACAAATAACAGCACCTTCTGTCTAGGTTAAATACTGTTAACTGTATTTATTTGCAATGTGGTGAAAATTTTGAAGGAGTCAATGACCTTTTGGATAGGGAGCCTATGAAAGGAAAACAGGAGACTTATTATGAGGAGTCTCAGATCATTTGGAAATAGAGGACACTGGTCAAAGTCACTGTTGCCATGGCGGGGTGGGACTCCTGCTGGGCCAGTCAAGCCACGGATGACACTATTTTGCAGGGATACTATACCTAAGCCTCTTAATTTTCTCATTCATTACAAGTGGCTTTGGGCAAAAGAACTAAAATGGGACAAGCTATGGATTTAGTAATTAATCCCTCAAATGAGCTATTTTATGTCTTCAGGAAAAATCAGGTCAATGTTTGCTTAATGAACTTGCTAGCTGGCTTGTGCTATGTTGTGGAAGAGATTCTTTTTTAAACTGTTCATGTCTTTAATGGGAATAGACCCATCTCACTAAATAATGAAGATTTTCCCAAGTCTGGATCTTCTTGCTGACATTACAAATCATCTGTGCTTACGAGTACTTTTCTACATGGACATTTACAAGAATAGATGTTCCTTGACTTACAAAGGTGTTACATCCTTATAAACCTATCACATATTGAAAATATTGTAAGCCACATGCATTCCTACTTCACTTGCCAAATAGCCTAGCTTAGCATAGTCCAATGTATAGTATTAACTGTTTCTCTTCATGATTGTTTAGCTGCCTGGGAACTGTGCCCACCTGCTGCTGCCCAGTATCATGAGAGAGTTTTAAATGCAAATTGTAGCCAAGGAGAGGATCAAAATTTAAAATTCAAAGTATGAAGGCTTGGGGTTTGGCTCAGTGGTAGAGTACGTGACTAGCATGTACAGCATTCTGGATTTGATCTCTACTCCCATAAAAATTGAAGTACAGTTTTTATTTAATGTATCTTGCTTTTGCACAACTGAAAATTGTAGGTCAAAACATTGTTCAGTCAGATACTATTTGTATTTCCCTAGATTTTCATTTGCTTCTCTCATTCCTGAATTTTTTTTAAAGGAAAGTCATTTGTTAAGGAATGGTGATCAGTTTCTAGAAATGAGGATTATAACCTAAAGTTTATCTTCCAGAATTGTGTTGTTAAAAACCGGGTTTTCAAAAGTTTCCTGATTTCAAACTTTATGAAAATAAAGTAGCATTATATAGGTAAGTTAATTAGTTAATTAGATTTGATAGTATTGTTAATGAAGGACCATGAGTTGGAAGTTTTGAATTGTAGAACAAAATGCTATTGAAGACTAAATAGGACCAACTTTGAAAGCCAGAACTATACACACATCTTGAAGGAAGATGTGGTTATTCTCATTTAAGAACCATTTACAGTGATTCCATCCCTGTTGGAATGACCCTAGCTTTTGGGGTAGTTCTATTACAAAATGAAATCTAGAAAAAGAAAACTAACAATACCATTCCATATTTATTTCAAGAACAAAGACTGTATCGTGTATATCACAGTGAAAGACAGAGCACCTGGAAGATATTTCTGTATACAAGAAAAGATGTTAGGTCAAAGCAGTAGTAAATTATGAAAGAAAGATATATTAATAGTTAAATAACTTTCCTTTAAATTATCTTACATTATTAATATATAATAGCATATGTGTCACATATGTTTATATTAATGCTATAGTTTGAATATGCCTTGTGTGCCCCCTAAAGGTTCATATGTTCAGAATTTGACCACAGTGTGGTGCTATTGTGAAGTGATGGGACCTTTAAGAGGTGGGATCAGTTGGAGGTCATTAGGTCATTGGGAGTAACCCAATGGTAGAGGATGAGAGAGGATTGTAATAAAAAGAGCAAGCCTGACTCTTCCATCCTCCCTAATCTGTTCTGAGAAGTAGTCACTTGCTTGTTCAGACCTGAAACTCCTGTCAAGATGTGCTGCCACCTACTGACCTCAGAGAGGCCCCCCACTTCCTACCGCCTAGCCCAATCTTGGACTTTGAACCTTCAAAACCTTAAGCTAAATAAGTAGCCTGTGCCAAGTATTTCATTATGGGAACTGTAAGCTGACTAATAAAATTACATATGTACACCATAACTAAAAAGAAAAATAAAGTATTTCTACGTCTGGGAGTTTCCTGTTCTTACATTCAACTTACTTTGTTCAAGAATACTACCTTTCTGACCTTTGACACACTGCTCTTCACAGCCCTAGAACAAAAGTAGTGCTTAGCATACAGCTGGTAAATGTTAGTTAAATTAAATTGAATTGCTTTTTTGACTATCATTAATCTTCAAAGTATTTGGATAATTTCCTACCAAGCATATTTACTTTGATTTATTGAAGAATGAATAATGCTCATTAATAATTCATCAGTTCT